TTCCTTCTCATTTCCATTGCATGTCTATTCATTAATGAAACATTTAAATTTGGATATAAGTAGTAGCTTTCAGATGAATTGAATTTCGTCATTGTTTGTTTTTTAAAGTGATATAAACTATGGGGACCATTTCCTTTTTATCTCCCCCTCCCCCCTTTGTTTTGGGGATTGCATTTCGGTGTTACATATTGGATTCGAATGGCAGAAATTGTTTTTGAATAATTGATACATATTTCTATTCCTACATTATTACCAATTTTTTCCTTCTCAACGCTGCATTCATCAGTATAATGAACACCTACTTATCCTATTGATAGTATAATTAATTTTGGTTTTCAACAATTATGCTAATAGCGGTGTTCATGCCATGGCTCATTGCATGGATAATGATGATATGTGTATGTCGTGCACAGTTGATTGTACTTCTGGTCGCCATGGCGTTCTTTCTTTCTGGTCTCGTTTCTTTTTGTTACCAATGCTGACAAAAAAAAAGATTTCATTTTGCAGGTTTGCAGTTCAGAAATTTAAGGGTAGTTTATGACTTCTTTCTTACGGGGCGGGGGGGGGGGGAGGGAGTGGGATGGGGAGGGGGTAGCTATTAGTAAAACAAATGAATATTATTTGTGAAAGATCGTGGATTCAGTGGAAAGGATTAAAAAGCCAATACTTCGACGTTTCTACAATATTCCGATTTACACTGTTTGCCTAAATATATGGTAGAATAAATCCCAGGACATAATGTCGGTAATTAGAGTACATTGGTGAGAATTAAACAAACTCTCTGTATATCTCGAGGTTTTATTTCTTTAGAGTGTATTTCTGGTATTTACATTTCCAGAACACATCAAGAGGTAACACTATTGATGTACCAACAGCTTCCTGGAGCTTTGAAAATAAAACGTCAGGAAATGCTTTTAAAAATATGTCATGCTCTATCTCTCGGATATTCGATATACAACACTAGCTATATGCATTATTACCCTCCCCTCTTCTCGGGCTCATTTAGAGGTAGGAAATACAGGGTGAAGATGTTTTGAACTCGTAAAACACGAATACCCCAAGAAAATAAATGAAAAGAAGTTGAATGGATATTTGTGAAGCTAATTTATATCATGTTTTTTGTCCCTACTCCTTCTCTTTCCCTTTTTCTTCTTCTCGTGGGTCTTTCTATTATTAGGGAATTTTTTCTTTTTTTTTCCCTTCTCATTTCAATTGCATGTCTATTCATTAATGAAACAATTAAATTTTGATATAAGTAGTAGCTTTCAGATGAATTGAACTTAGTCATTGTTTTTTGTTTGTTTAAGTGATATAAACTATGGGGCCATTTCCGTTTTACCCCCCCCCCTTTGTTTTTGGGGTTGCATTTTGGCGTTATATATTGGCCTCGAATGGCGGGAATTGTTTTTGAATAATTGATAAACATCTCTATACCTATATTATTATCTATTTGTTCCTTCTCAACACTGCATTAATAACTTTAATGACCACCCACCTACTTTCGGTTAAATTCGGTTTTCAGCAATAACACTAATAGCGGTGTTCATGCCATGGCTCATTGCATGGATAATGATGATATGTGTATGTCGTGCACGATTAATTGTAATTCTGGTCGCCATGGCGTTTTGTCCTTCTCGTCTTGTTTTTTTTGGTTACCAATGCTGAGAAATAATGATTTCATTTTGGCAGGTTTGCAGTTCAGTAAGAAATTCCCCTTTTAAAGGTAGTTCATGTCTTCTTTCTTACGGGGAGTGGGGGTGGGGGGGGGGAAGCTATAAGTAAAACAAATGAATACAATTCGTGAAAGATCGTGGATTCAGTGGAAAGGAGTAAAAAAAAAAATACTTTGATGGTTCTATACAATATTTCGATTTACACTGTTTGCCTAAATATGTAGTAGAATAAATCCCAGGACATAATGTCAGTAATAAGAGTACATTGGTGAGCATTAACGAAACTCTCTAAATATCTCGAGGTTGTATTTGTTTAGAGTGTATTTTTTGGTATTTACATTTGCAAAGTTCTTCACAGGAAGCCATCAGAAGTTCATCATATACTATTATCTAGATCTATTAGGAATAAATCATTGTCAAAATAATTCCATTAATTGGGGTAAAAAATAAATATTCCAACGATATGAGCGACAGTGTATATGCATTATTACCCTCCCCTCTTCTCGGGCTCATTTAAAGGTACGCAGGCACATTTACAGGGAGGTGATGTTTTGACCACGTAAAACACATATACTCCAAAAAGTTGAATGGATATTTGTGAAACTAATTTGTATTATGGTCTTCTTTTCTTCTTTTTCTGATAAGGTCTCCTTTTCATCTATGATGAGTACCCCTGTTTTATACCTCTGAAAAGTAACCCCTTTTTTGACGCGTGTCTCTTTTCCTTTTAAAGGATCCATGACATCGAAATACAAGTGTATTCCTGTTGTTGTGCAGTCCTGCATACATCTCATATTTTGATATGTAAACTTCTGAATTGTTTCAAATTTAAAAAAATATTTGTTTAAATATTTGTTTTTCAAACTTGCTAAGCTCCACCCCAAAAACATCCAGATCTCATTCCCCTTGTGACACCATCTGTCAGTCATCAATGAGCTAGCTTGAGAATGTGGTATGTATCTTTGCCGAAGTCGACCACCTGTTACAATACGTAATACAATAGCAAAATACAAGTTGCTATGTCAGACATATTTTAGCATCACCAAGAAGACAAAGACAAAGTGCTAAGCTGGGTAAAAAATTACACATCTTTGTCTATTCTAGAAATTAGTTTAGTCTGACTATCTGATTATAAACCAAAAGTACATATTCCGAGATTTTCATGGTCGCAGCTACCATTGTACGGCCGTAGGCGCTATTTAAAATTGATTAAAATTCACCGGGAGCACCATAAATTGTTATATTCAATTTTTCTCGAAAGCAGAAGTGTTTAAGGGCTAAATTTCCTAGTGCTTATAATACATCCACAGGGGCATCCAAATATATCAAAAATTGTTAAGAATTACTATCCACCCAATTTTCAAAATTTCCCAAAACTTTGTTTTACCTTTACAACAAAATATGTTTTTCATTACATTTAACTGTATTTAATACGAAAATGGTCTCTTACAGCTACCTACTTTTAAGCTATGGTCACAAATCAGAGCAGCGATCGACCGATCAGTAGCCTGCTCGGTCGCTGCTGGAATTTAGGCATCGCCCAGCGATTTTTGGAGAAGTCGAGCAGGCTGTAGACCCCCAGCGATGCCTGGGCGGTGACCTGTCGATTACCCGTCGGTCGCCGGTCGATTTTAGGTCAAAACTGGGCGAAATCGCGGAGCTTTTTCGCGCGGTGTCCCGGCAGCGACCGACCGGTGACCCTCCGATTGCCGGGCGGTCTCCCACCAGCCACCGGCTGATTGTAAAGAAATTGCCCGGCGGCCGGCCAGTGATCGGCGGGGCTCCAAAATACGCCCGGTGCCTGGCCGTTCGCCGCCCGGGCGTCGCGTGAAAGTGAGCAGGCGCCGCCCGAATTTTAACTCCGCACTAAAACTTCAGCAGCGACCGAGTGATGTCTTAAAAACGAGCGGTGCCTTGGCGGCCGCCGCTCGGTTGCCGGGCAAAAATGGCTAAAAACTCGCCGCTCAGCCGCCGAGTAGGCTACTTTTGGGTTATGTGACCATAGCATTAGTGACAGATGGAAGAGTCTATGTGTCTCATTCGCCAAATTAATGCTTGACTCTTCGTCAAAGCTCCTTCACTTAATTGTTGACCCGGCGTAGAACAAACACTAGGAACGCTGACAAATTTGATCTGCGTAGAGTCGCGTAGTGTGGCGTACCGACTGCGCCAAAATTAGGCTGCGTATTCATGGAAAATATGTTGCTTCGGCGTAGTCCCTGCGTAGGCGGAGGCTGGCGTACGATGACGTATGGTAACATACCATGTGCATAGGCACCGCGTACCTACGGCGTATTGAATTGACGTACCTACTTGTACGATTGCGTATAACAGGCGTAGGGTTGCGTATGTTTACGTAGGCCTGGCGTACATGTTTGCTTACGGTTGCGTACGGTTGTTTACTGTGTGCTCAAGCTTTAACTTCCTCGTCGGACTGACGTAGGGTAGCGTACTATTGCGTAGGCTTGGCGTACTGTAGCGTAGTGTTGCGTAGTGTTACATAGGGTTGCGTACACAATGCGTACTTTCTGCATCTAGTGTTTACGCCAAAAGTACGCCAACAATTTAACATGTTAAATTGTTTGCGTCCATCTCGCGTACCCCTTTGCGTCCTTCAGCGTATGTTACGTAGGCCAGCGTAGGGCAGCGTACGCTTGGCGTAGTCAGTACGCAACAATACGCAACTCTACGCATGGCCCGGTGTGAAAGGAACTAAAGACACAGAAATAGTCCAATCCCTTTTCATACTCGCCTACTGTGAACTAATATTAAATCTGAACTTTAAACGGGATATTGGACAGTAGGTCAATACATCAATAAATCATTACTATTTTAATAAGTATTAATTTAGCAGTCTTTTATATATTGAATATATATAACAGAAAAACAACATAATATAAAACAACAGGTCCGAAAAAATGACCCGTTTTCAGTCCCTCTCTCTAACCCCTACAATCTTAAAGGAGCTACACAAAGACAATTTACTAAAAACTGATAATTAGAACAAATAACATATGGATGAAAAGATTTTCTCTTGAAAAACACGAATAATTTGCTGAGAAATCATATAGATATCATGGAAAGGCGTAAAATGCAATTTTACAAGACCCTTCTTAGACCCCTAAACGCCCCCGAACGTAAGCCAAACACACAAGCGTAGCGAGCTCTGAATAGTGACGTCACATCCTGGACAAACAGCTCGGTACCAGCCGCATACCGGAGTCGCGCGTGTATACGTGCCTTCACGGTTGTTTCATCGCAAAGCATGCCGGGACATAATTCTAGTCCATTTTCACCTTCGCCGTGATCAGCTGTCCTGTTGCAAACAACGGGATTCTTATCGAATCAACATCATAATCTTGTACATAGTCCGCTATTCTGCAGTGATTTTCTTCCAATCCAGTATCATTTGTACGGTAAGAAACCAAAGTTTGTGGTTATTCATTTTTATGACTAATAAAGCTGATAATACGACGTAATGAGAGTGGGCCGAGATCCAACTTTAGTAAATGTAGGCCTAGATCTAGTCCCGTATGTTCAAATGTGTGTGCATTTTAAGTAGACTGATTGTCTTTTAAGCTGCTTAAGTACACTCGTCTCGTGTTTTAGGTAGAAATGTACAGTAATATGAGATTTATGTCTCATGAAATATTAATAGACTTTCTAGATCCTATAATTGATAATGGAATAGGGTCTACTAGAATGGCTGACATTTAGATAGTGATTGCAATTAAGTGTAAAAAAGTAAAAGAGGCCATGAAAATGATAGATTTGTCGATCTGGATCTGGATATAAATTCTGATATCGATGAGCTCAACTTGAGCATCTACGTGTTGAAGAAGTGATAAGGATTCTTTTGTTACAATCATTCTTGTGGTCACGAACTTAATATGATTGTCTTTTCCCTTATATTTATCAGTTGCAGCATCATCGAACACGGCCGATGAAACAGAAGATAACGTGCATGTAGATGTTACGAGAGAGCTCATTTCACAATGGACAACAGAAGTGTTACGTGACTTTCTACAAGGAGGGGACTCAAGCTTGGAAATCGAGTACCGGTAGTCATTATTTTATGGGTGTTCTCTGCCTTGACGCGGTAGCTGTTCAGCCATCCGAGGTAGACACTGTGAGGAACTGGACAATGGATGGATTGGGGGGGGGGGTGGGGGTAGGCATGCAGAACTGGCCTACTATGTTTGTATGTACCTACTGGATAAGGACCCTCCATCACTAGAGGGAAAAATAATGAGATACTACAAAGAGGGGAAGGCATATAGTTATTTTGCCTTGTGAAAAAATTAGATTTAGCCCCTAAAAAAGTGTTCCTTCGGGTATCAAATGACGACAGGTGAAACCTCACAGTTGTAGAATTATTATCTGTAATGTGATTTCCAAACCATGTGACAGCAAATGGTGTATGGTGTATGTTGTAAAGGTATTGTAAAATGCATTGTTTAACAATGTATAACAATGTTTAAACCGAGATGGACGTATGGCCCTACGTGCTACCAGTGTCTGTGATATGGTGTATTAATACTGAAGCCCTAACAAAATTGTGCTTCAAAATGATCGAGAAGTGCCTCTAAAAAGTAAAAATCTTTGTTTGACCCCTTTTACCATACTCGTTTTCCCCAATAAACTGTAGTGTTATGAAAACCGTTTGGCAAACACAAAATTTGGTTTCGATTTCCAATCGTAAATATCTTGATAATCAGACAGGCGATCGGATTGTAAAAGTCATTGAGTTCCTGACTGACCTAAATTTATCATTGCAGCATGAGCTAAATCCAGGATTTTGTTTCAGAATCTGAGAGTAAGTTACCCGATCCCTTTAAATGTGTTTGCATTAAAGGTGGTACCCCCCCCCCTTCTCAGCAAAAGTCCAGTGTGTAAAGTCAATACGGGCAGATCTTTTTCTTTGTTACGAGCCAGAGATTTTGGGAACACGCATGCGGTACCTCCGTTCCCGTTCCTGGAGGGGGGGCGGGGGTGGTACTACTTCTTCATAAGATGTCAACTTATATGCATTGCATTAAACCTGTTGATATTGATCTAACTTGTATTCATCTCATGGTTATATTTATTTTATCAATAAAATAAAACAACACAGCGAAGGTTGTAGATGAGTACTAAGCAATCATTACTGTATGTAGGACGCCGAGTTGAAGTTATTCATGATTTATTCAAGAGAGGAAGGTCAGACAGACCTGATGTTTTAAATATTTAACGAGAGAAAAATCATAGAAACAGAGAGAGGCATCGAGAGAGATGTCGACGCTTAATGAAAGAGAAAGAGTGATAATAAGGAGAGAGGAGAGAGAAAGAGACAGAGAGGGGAGGGAGAGAGGGAGAGCAAGAATTAGGTGTGAAGAGGAAGATCTAAGAGAACAAGAGATTAAATTTTACAAATGTACACGTTTCCATGTACCTTTACTTAATTTATATTATAATGTAAACGATATTGTGATGGTCTTTGCTTAATTTTAGTTTGCATTCTTTCCTTTAGCTTTATCTTCTAATCTACTATTCTAATTTAGTAAATGTTAGTATAAATATAATTTTGATTTCTATCTCTTCCCCTATGTCATAGCCTCCATTCTTGCTCTCCCTTCCTCATGTTAGTCCATCTCTCTTTCTCTCTCTCTGTAATGATAACCCCTCTATCAATCTTTTTTCATCAACTCATGATATGTTCCTCCTCTTCTCCTTCTCGTTCATCATCACAATCATCATCATCATCTCAAAACTGTATTAATCAATCTATAAGACTCTTTAGATTGATCAATACAGTTCTTATAACATATGACCTTTATGTACAAACAATAAACCAAATGGTCACAATCATTTAATAAAAAGTGGTAAGAACAATTATTCCAACTCTATGGGCAACAACGTAATCTCCATTTTCTCCTCCTCGTTCAAATATTAGCTTCTTTTTCATTCTTTACTCGTGTTACTTCTCTATCTCTCTGACTATACTCACAAGAAAGTAGAATCAACGGTTTGACATGAAACAGTCTAGAAAATGAACTAAATTTATTCAAGTATCAAATGATTTTGAATTACAGACAGCTTTCTCCCACGAGATGAAAAAAATATCTCCCTAACCAGAAACTGGCAAAATAACTAAATGCCTTTCCCGCTTTGTAGTCTCTCATTCTTCCCTCTAGTGATGGAGGGTCCTTATCTACTAGGTACACACAAATGTCTCTATACATAGTAGACGACCAGCTCTGCAGTCTGCATGCCTTTCTCCCCCCCCCCCCCCGCCCCCTCTCCATCCATCGTCCAGTTTATCTCTACCTCGGATGGCTGAACAGTACCCCCAGAGTCAAGGCAGAGAACACCCATAAAATAATGACCACCGGTACTCGATTTCCAAGCTTGAGTCCCCTCCTTGTAGAAAGTCACGTAACACTTCTGTTGTCCATTGTGAAATGAGCTCTCTCGTAGCATCTACGTTATCTTCTGATTCATGGGTCATAGTGTTCGATGATGCTGCAACTGATAAATAAAAGGGAAAAGAAAATCAAATTTAAGTTTGTGACCAAAGAACCCTCATCACTTCTTCAACACTAGATCATGTAGCAGACGTGTATGCAGGGGGGAGGGAGTTTCGGGGGTTGAACCCCCCCCCCCCCCTCCTCCAATTTTGTTTAGACTATGTGTGTGTGTGTTTTTGAGGAAACCCCCCCCCCTCACTTTTTTAATAACAAAATAAATTAAACATTTTTTGTGCTAAAGGGTGACCCAAAAAAGGTGACCTTACCCCCCACCAACTGAACAAAATATCGGTCTCCCAAATTTCATATTTTCGGGGAAAAAAAGAAGGAAAAAAAAAGGTGCTCTTACCACCCCCGGCTTATTCACCAGCTGGCCGAGTCGTGAAATTGACTGCGTGATTTTCAAATTTTACCCCCCGGCCCCCCCCCCCCCCTCGAAAAAATCCTCCGTACGCCCCCGTCATGTAGATCCTCAAGTAGAGCTCATTGATATCAGACTATTATATTCAGATCCAGATCGAAAAAATCTATCGTTTTCATGGCCTCTTTTACTTTCTTACATTTATAATTTCTAATTGCAATCACTTTCTAGGCCTAACTGTCGGCCATTCTAGTAGACCCTATTCCATTATCAATTATAGGATCTAGAAAGTCTATTAATATTTCATGAGACATAAATCTCATATTACTGTACATTTCTACCTAAAACACGAGACGAGTGTACTTAAGCAGCTTAAAAGACAATCAGTCTACTTAAAATGCACACACATTTGAACATACGGGACTAGATCTAGGCCTACATTTACTAAAGTTGGATCTCGGCCCACTCTCATTACGTCGTATTATCAGCTTTATTAGTCATAAAAATGAATAACCACAAACTTTGGTTTCTTACCGTACAAATGATACTGGATTGGAAGAAAATCACTGCAGAATAGCGGACTATGTACAAGATTATGATGTTGATTCGATAAGAATCCCGTTGTTTGCAACAGGACAGCTGATCACGGCGAAGGTGAAAATGGACTAGAATTCATGTAGCAGACGTGTATGCAGGGGGGAGGGAGTTTCGGGGGTTGAACCCCCCCCCCCTCCTCCAATTTTGTTTAGACTATGTGTGTGTGTGTTTTTGAGGAACCCCCCCCCCCTCACTTTTTTAATAACAAAAATAAATTAAACATTTTTTGTGCTAAAGGGTGACCCAAAAAAGGTGACCTTACCCCCCACCAACTGAACAAAATATCGGTCTCCCAAATTTCATATTTTCGGGGAAAAAAAGAAGGAAAAAAAAAGGTGCTCTTACCACCCCCGGCTTATTCACCAGCTGGCCGAGTCGTGAAATTGACTGCGTGATTTTCAAATTTTACCCCCCGGCCCCCCCCCCCCCTCGAAAAAATCCTCCGTACGCCCCCGTCATGTAGATCCTCAAGTAGAGCTCATTGATATCAGACTATTATATTCAGATCCAGATCGAAAAAATCTATCGTTTTCATGGCCTCTTTTACTTTCTTACATTTATAATTTCTAATTGCAATCACTTTCTAGGCCTAACTGTCGGCCATTCTAGTAGACCCTATTCCATTATCAATTATAGGATCTAGAAAGTCTATTAATATTTCATGAGACATAAATCTCATATTACTGTACATTTCTACCTAAAACACGAGACGAGTGTACTTAAGCAGCTTAAAAGACAATCAGTCTACTTAAAATGCACACACATTTGAACATACGGGACTAGATCTAGGCCTACATTTACTAAAGTTGGATCTCGGCCCACTCTCATTACGTCGTATTATCAGCTTTATTAGTCATAAAAATGAATAACCACAAACTTTGGTTTCTTACCGTACAAATGATACTGGATTGGAAGAAAATCACTGCAGAATAGCGGACTATGTACAAGATTATGATGTTGATTCGATAAGAATCCCGTTGTTTGCAACAGGACAGCTGATCACGGCGAAGGTGAAAATGGACTAGAATTATGTCCCGGCATGCTTTGCGATGAAACAACCGTGAAGGCACGTATTAGTCTGCAGCTAGACAGCCCTGTCCAGGGTGTGACGTCACAATAGTGACGTCATACGAAGGACTGCTGGAGGCAGTAAAACTGGATCTCAAAACTAACATTTTTGAAAGTTGATTTCTGCGGGCCCCCAAACATATTTTGAAGAGGAAATTTGTTTTTTTTATCAGTAAGGCTTCCCCTTCGCAATGATATGAATTTTGCATCAATTCAATACACTTTTGCTTCTTGGTGTGACCTTGGTGGGGTTACGGGAGCGAAGCCCCCGTAAGCTCTGGGGTTTTAGGCATTTAATTACGGTCAGATGAGCATATTTTGATAGCTCATTTGTGACATTGGCAGGTCATTTTTTTTTTCTCTCTTTCTTTCTTTCTTTTTCTCTGTAACAAACTTTTTCAAACAGTGAGGGGGGCTCGAGCCACCGAGCCCGGCCGTTCTGCATACCATGACATAAAGGCTTCTAAATAAGCATATTTTTCGCCTGACTGTAAATTTGGGAATTTCTAATTTTCCAACAAACGCATAAAACGGTATGACTTACAAGAAAAAATACCGGATAATCATGTCATTTCAGCAACATTTGTAAATCACTGGTATCGATTAAAAAATACCCCCCATCAGTACGCCAGCGTTCAGGGTCTTATAAGCTTCTCACCCTATAACAAAAAGCAGACACGCTTCTCCTTTTCTCTCACAATATGTCCACGATATGCGCGTATCGCTATTATAAAAACCTCCATTGATAAATATAGGTAGGATGCGAAATGTTCAGGAAATTAAATTCCTGTTAATTTTCCTTTTCTTTGAATGAAATTTTATACGTCATTTAATTCAGATTTTTATTATTGTTATGTTCTTTTGGTTTAAAACCATCTTTACTTCTTTACTGCTTTTTTTTGAGGGGGGGGGGCGTTTCTTTGGGGGAAAATGCGTTTTGCCCCCCCCCCCCAATGTTTTGGTTGGGGTGCCCCCCACTTCCAGCGCCTATGCC